GTCACAGACTCCCACCTCACAGAAGTGGCCCTACAACTTTCTGCATTTCAATGGAAAGTGTCAATCCCCCATCTACAGAGGCCACCCAGACTCAAAACAACTCAGAGAGCACAGCTCTTCAAATGAATTGAGTGTCTCAGTGGCCCCTCCCTGAGGTCCTACTAAAAACTGCCTTTGTCAAGCTGTTTCCATAACAACCAAGGCAAGGACCTAGAAACACCCTTCTCACAGACAAGAAATATAAGCTTTTGTTGTTGTTTTCTGTTTTCGTTTTTTGTTGTTGTTGCTGGTCTGTTTATTATTTGCTGTTGTTGATATTGCCTTACTTTGTTTTGGTTCTTTGTTTAATTCCTATCAGTTTGTTCTGTTGGACTGTTTCTCTCCTCTTTCTTCCATTCTCTATTTCTCAGTCACTAATATCTAGAGCCCTCTCATACATCTCCTATACCTCCATTCCCTTCTTCCCATTATCTCCCCTCCCTTTCCTACATCCACTCCCCACAATTCTCAATTTCCAAATTTTTTACCCTTCAACTAGTGTTAAGCAACCAGATCATCCTCTTTAGAAATAAGAATTTTGCTCCCATACAGCCTTACTGGAGAGACAAATTCAGGTGTCAGTTGCTCCTTATTCATTCATATCCTTGATTTATTACTGAATTGTTTATCTCACCTCTGCAACAGGTCTCCACACACCTGAGAGAGTAAAAGGAATATTAGACCAACAGACACACAAAACACAGATAGAAACTTAAATATGAAAAATCAAGGCAATGTTTCACCTCCAAACTCCCACCACAACTTAATATCTGAATCCAAAGATAATGAATTGACCTAAATGTCAAAGAATTCAGAAGCCTACTAAAAGTGTATTAAAATGATCAGAGACCTTAAAGAGGACTCAAATAAATAGATAAATGTAGTTAGAAAACCAATCCAAGAACTAGACAAGAAAGTCAGTATTATGGAAGAAAATTCATCAGGGCTATGGAAATTATGAAAAGAAAATTGAGTTGAAATGTTAGAAATAAAAACCTCAATAAATCAAATACAAACCACAATGGATAGTATAATCAGTAGATAAGATCAAGCAGAAGAAATATCAGAGATGAAGGACAAGATTAAAGAGCTATTGCAGGCAAACAATCACAAAGAAAAATATTAATACACATGAATATAGCATACAAGAACTCTAGGGCACAAAAGACCAAATCTAAAAATTCACAGGGTGGAAGAAGGAACTGAAAACCAAGGGCATAGAAAATCTATTCAATGAAATTGTAGCAGAAAACTTCCCAAATCTATGTAACAATATAGACACCCATGTACAGGAGGCATTTCAAACTTCAAATAGACATGATCAAAAAAAATAACCCCAGGACATCATAATTAAAATGCCAAATCTAGAAAACAAAGAAAGGATCCTGAAAGTTTCAAGAGAAAAATGCCAGCTTACATACAAACATAAGAATCACTGTAGACCTCTTAACACAAACCCTAAAATCCAGTAAAGTTTGAAGCAATATAATCCAAGCTCTAAGAGTGAACAACTGCCAACCAAGAATTCTTTATCCAGCAAAGTGGCCTTCAACCTCAAGAGAGAAAATAAAGATCTTCCATGATAAGGACAAGCTAAAGCAGTTCATGTCCACCAAGCCAGCATTACAAAGCATACTCGAAGGAATAATACACGTGGGACAGAATGAAAAACAATAACAGATATGAGAGCCTAGGAAACAATAAAACTCAATGGAAATTGATGACCTTATAAGAACTAGGAAAACAGCAAGCATGATCAATAAACCTATGAAGAAGTACTCAATCAACATCCTTTGCCATAAAGGAAATACAAATCAAAACTACACTGAGATTCCATCTCATCCCAGTCAGAATTGCTGTATCAGTAACACAAGTAACAACAAATGCTGGCAAGGACATGGAGGAAAAGAGACACTTCTACACTGTTGGTGGTAATGTAAATTAGTGCAATTGCTATGGAAACCATAGCATATGGAGGTCCCTCAATAAATTAAAAATAGAACTACCATATGATCCAAAAGAATGCACTCCAGGATATAATGGAGCTACTTGTACACCCATGTTTATTGAAGCACTATTTACAACAACAAGCTTTGGAAGCAGCCCAGATGCCCCACAACTGATTCAGAAAATGTGGTATATATACACAAGGGAGTTTTTATTCAGCCATAAAGAAGAATGAAATTATGTTGTTATGTAAATAGATGAAACTGGAGTAAAGTGAAGTAAGCCAAGCTCAAAAAAAAAAAAATCAAAGATCATATGTTTTCTTTCATATGCAGAAGCTAGACCTATGAATTAAATGTATATACAGAAACATATATCATATATAAATATATATATACACATACATACATTAAATGACATAGAGAACAAAATTGTATTAGTAAGTCTGTCTGAGGGGGTTACGGGAGGTGAGAAAGAGAAAGAAAATGTTAGAGAAAGAAAAATATTGAAACAACCCATCTATATATGAATATAATATAATGTATGGTACAGTAAGCTGTTGACTATTAGGGGAGCATGGTGATAGCGAATGAGTGAGTAACAGAGGGGAAGGGGGTTAATTTGATAATAGCACTATATGTGTATATATATATATATATATATATATATATATATATATATACACACAGACCTCAGGTACCAAGGTAAACCCCCTTGAACTATCAATATACACTTAAGTAAAAAAAAAAATGAACAGCAAGAGGGAAAGATAAATCTTCTCCGGGGGTGGGTACCAGTGGGAGGGGCACAAAGAAAGGGGGAATGAGGGTGTATATGATGGATATGTTTTAGATCCATATATGAAAATAGAAGAATGAAACCTTTTGAAATTGCTCTAAGAGGGGGTGAAGGGGGAAGCCGAAGAATGATGAAAGGGATAAATCTAACTAAGATACAATCACATATATAAATGTGTATCCCCCTGTACAGCTATTATATATAGTAAAGTTTTACATAATAAAATCATTCAAAAAGAAGGATGATAGGATTTAGGCTATATATATTATATATATTATAGATTATATATAGCTATATATTATCGAAAATATAATATAATATAATTGATACATATTAGTTATTCATTGGGAAAAATAAGAATTATCAATTAAACTTGATTTTGAAATGGATCTAATTACTAAAACAACTTTTCTGTGACCAGAGCTTTGTATTTGTCTAAAACTTTTTGTGTTTTATAATTACCATACACAAATCCCCACGAATCCAATCCAGTATACCAGTAGAGATGTTCTATATAAAGACTTCTTATGTTACCTGTGTCCAGAATACTCACCAAAGTAAAGAACAGAATCTTGCTGTATTACATAAAAAGTAATTTAGACAACATTTCAATAGGAGGAAATAAGTAACAGACAGATGAATGAATAAATGCTAAAGAAACATTCAAATCAAGGAAATGCAAATCAAAACCACACTAAGATTCCACTTCACCCCTGTTAGAGTAGCTATCATCAAAGACACCACCAACAACAAATGTTGGCAAGGATGCAGGGGAAAAAGGAATCCTCATACACTGCTGGTGGGAATGTAAACTAGTACAGCCACTTTGGAAAACAATATGGAAGCTTCTTAAAAAACTAAACATAGATCTGCCATATGATTCAGCAATCCCACTCCTCAGCATATATACTCGAAAGCATGCAACTCAGGTTATTCCATAGGTACCTGCACACCCATGTGCAGCACTATTCACAATAGCCAAGTTATAGAAACAGCCAAGATGCACCAGTACTGATGAATGAATTTTTTAAAATGTGGTATTTATACACAATGGAATTTTACTCAGCCACAAAAAAGAATGAAATTTTGTCATTCACAAGTAAATGGATGGAACTGGAGATCACCATCTTAACCGAAATTAGTCAGGCTCAGAAGGCCAGAATCACATGTTCTCCCTCATATGCAGACTTTAGACCTAAAACAAGTGCAGTAATATTATTGGACATGGGTCACACGCTGTGGGGAGAACACATACAAGAGGAATAGGAAAAGTGGGATGTTTAATGTGCCCACCTAATATAGTAATCTTAAACTGACAGAAGCCACTATGGTAAGGTGACTGGGAAATAGTGAAGCAGTCTGGTAGAGAGGAACCAATTTGGGTTGTAACACACATGTGCTTGGAAGCAATGCTAGGAATCTCTCTGTATAGCTATCTTTATCTCAAACTAGCAAAAATGCTATGTCTTTCTTATTGTTGCTTATGTCTTCAACAACATTGGAGAAGAGAGCAGAACAGCTGCTGTCTAGAAGCGAGGAGGGTAGGGAAAAGAGGGAGGGGCTGGGGGGCTGGGGAGGAGAGATGGCCCAAACAATGTATGCATATATGAATAAATGAATAAATAAATTTAAAAAACATTTTAGATAGATAAATGCTATTGATACTATGTTAAGTGCTGGGCTATTGAGGTGAAATTATATCATAGAAACACACAAGAGTAAATTTGGGATTATAGTAAATCATACAATGAATTTTATTATATAAGCATATTTAGAGTACTTTGGGAGCACTGAGTATTTACTTATTTAGGTAGGTTTCAAGGAAGGATTTTTTTTTTTCAAGAACCATTAACATGAACTTAATGAGAGCTTTTAACTTTTTATTAAATGAGAACACAGGGTGCTCCAAAGGAAATGGCAAAAGCAATTACCTAGAAGCATAGAAAGCATGATGTATTTGGGAGATTGTAATTTGTTCTGTATCTCTGGACCACAGAAAACATCTAAAAGACTAGCCATAGCCACACTGGAGAGTTAGACAAGGAGTCAGTTCTTACAGAATACTGCACATTGTGCTAAGGATTTTGGACTTTGCTATAGATCTCTAGAAACTTGTAAACAAAGCAGTAACAATGAAGAATAAAGACATGCTAGAGTATGGTATTAAAATTTAACAAATTTCTGAGGATGGATACAAATTATACTTTTCTTTTTAGCCCCTCAGACTCAGGCTACAGCCTCTGCAGCCCAGGGTATTTTTTCTTCTCCTGTTTACTCAAATACGTAAGTATTTAAGCAATTAATGTGTAGTCATGAATTAATATTTTATAATTGTATAAGAGTGCTGCTTACAAGCACATTATTACATGAAATCTTCCCTTTTTTGTAGTTCTAAGTGAATTTGGTGAAACCATTTTTACAAACTTGCAGAAGTTTAAATTATACACAAAGTGAATGTTTGTCCTCCAGTCTTCTTGCCCTCTCCTCTCCAGATAGCCGGACTATTTTTCCTTCTCTTTGAAAAATTTACCACCTTTATGTCCTTTAAAAGTATTGGCTTCCTAAGAATGATACACAACATTAATGATTTAGTCAATTATTTGCTTCCCAGAAGATACTTGCTGTGCAATGGTATAAATTACAGACACTTGGAAGAGATATTTTTAAAGCGCCAGAGGATTTTCATTCCTCAAACCTTAGTGACCACCTATTTTTGGCAATGTCTATATTTTTCTCAACTTGAGAAGGAAAAAGACTATTGTTTTAGATACAATGCCATCATAATTTAAGGAAAATCAACAGACCAAATGAAGTGTAAGGTAGGCTTTAGATTTCACAAGACCAAGATTTGCATGTAAATGGTGTGGTAAAATGAATGGTGTGTAGGTGACAAATAGTGGTGATATATTCAGAAGACTTGTAAGGTAAGACTGATGGGCATTGGCTATTGTGACTGATTGAAGATTCAGACTACATAGGCACCATATTAGAAAACAGAAGGAAGGAAACTGACTAGCCCAGTTTGAAGCATGGTGATGGGAGGAAGGATTGAGCCTTTGTACACAATGAGCATTTTTATTTTATTTATTGAATAAATACAGCCTTATTTACTGTAAATATAAATATCTGCCTTTTATAAAAAGAAAATATTAGAGGAGGCTAATGATGAAGTCATAATTTCTGTATTTTCCTCTTCCATGCCCACGAATACAGAATTGTATAATCACGAGTGAATGTTTCAGAGAAATTATTTTCTTTAGCTCAACTAAAACAAAGAAGTCTTTACATGACTTCTTTACATGACTTAGATCCTCTTCACTGCTGCTTCCAAACTCACAGGGATATAATAGTCGTAACTGCATATCCACCCAGCCTAACATCAGATGAAACTATGAAACAGCACAGCTAACAGTATTTCATGGTCTGAACCTGCCCATCACATAATCCGGCTCTGACTTAAGTCCAGTTTCATGAGACTTTATGGGTGAAGCCTCACATTTGTTCCATCATCCACCTCCTTTCACCTCTCTCACCTCACTTATACTTAGTTCTCTCTCTGTTTTTTCTTAATGTTCTTAACGTTAATATAAAAGATATACACAATGATTTATAAAATAGAAATGCAAATTATGACCAAGTAAATGAAGGCAACATAAATATGACAGCAATGGAAGTAGAGTTATAATAATTAAACAATGCACTTAGATAATAAGTTTGTATTATTTGCAAGGAAGGTATAATTTTCAGGGAAGAAGAGACAGATTGAAGGAAGCAATAAGTCTGCTGCCATAAAGACATGGGTTAGAAACTTGTACATCATTTATTGAGTAGCATTCTGATGGCTTATAAATGGGAATATTATAGCCAAATTAACATACACAATAAATAACTTTGATAGCAATATATAGAAAAAAACTGAAGGCAAGATACTCGGAACTAGTTCTAGAAAGCCATTAGTGGCTCACACAAAAGTCTCCTTTGGGATTAGCAGTAAGTAACCCCAGATCCAAGACACTTTAAAGACAGTGTGTTTGTAAAACATTTATTGAGAACCTACTAAGCTCAAAGAATAATGCCAGACATAAGGCACATACCAAGATATACAGATTTATGCCACCATGACTATGGGGTATTGGTATTCAAGGATACAATGAAACTGGAAAGAAGTAATGAAAGTAGGACAATTTAAAACTCACAATTATTATCTATATTCACTTTCCTTCTAAAACAAATAGTTTGTGGGATGCTTCAAAGGTTTTTGTTTTGTTTTGTTTTGATGGTTACATGATTTGTCTGCTCCCTACAATTGCTATCATTATTTTTCTTGTGAGGTGCCACATATCTAACCAAAGAGCCTCCCACATGCTTGGCAAGTGCTCTACCATTGACCTGCACACCCAGACCAACAATTGTTATTTTATATGCTTTACTGAAGCTTTCTCAGTTATTCTGTTTAATTTTATTTGTAAGTCTTTGTTATTTGTTTGGACTTTTATGCATGCTTTTGAAGCAGAAAACTTGTCTGGAACAGATATCAATGAAAACATAGGACTCCATTTTTTTTCTTGCCAGTGTTATAATGTGGAAAAACAGACAAAATATCTCTGACAATTAGGTTGTAGACTATCACAAAGAGGGAAAGTTTGGAAACATGGGTTGACATAACAGACCAGATCTAAGAAAAATAAGTGAGAACAAATGCCAGAAAATATGTCACTGAAATCAATTTTCATATTCCAGTTTCCATATTGCAAAAAAATTCTAGTCTGATGATAGGCCATTGATACCAAGCCTTTTTTGCTGCTATTTATCTATTTCTTTTCTTTTTTTTTTCTTTTGATACATAGTCTTTATGTTGCCCAGGCTGGCCTCCAACTAAAGAAACCGTCTTGCTTCAGGCTCCCAAGTAATTGGGACTACAGACATGCACTACCACACATGACCTCCAAGCACAGTTTATGAGCTGCAACCATGAGGTTTTCTTTTTATGCTGCAATTTAAGATAAAATAGACTTGAATTTTAGACTTTGGGAAAAAAGTAAACTGAAGGTTTAACATATTGGGGAGAATAGATGTGAAGAGCCCATGTTGGTAAAAATATATGAAAAGAAATCAGAACTTCACTTTTACACTTAGTTTTAGCACTTAGTTTGGTGTTTGATGATTTTTATGACTGAGTTCTTTTATTTCTTTTCAATTCAAAAAACTTTTTTAGCATGTGATGATGAATCTCATTAGAACATTTGGTAGAATATTGTCATAAAGAAAAAGGGTATGTCTAAATTGGTATTGAATATAACCAGAATCCCATGATTTTTTTAACCCACAATTATTGAGTAATCATTCAAATGTACTTTTTTCTACTGTGCAATGTGAGAAAGGGGTGGTTATCTATGGGATTGAAAGTGTAGGAATGCCCCTCTTTCATATCAGAAAGCTGTCCTCACAGCCTTGCCTATTAGCAGACAAAAGGGACTATCCTGTCCCTTCTGTGTTCTTTCCAAAAGAACCATGAAGCTGGAATATCTAAGGTATATCAGAATTAGAACTATTAGCCAGGTATACTATTTATATCTGCTATCGTTCTACTTCCTGAGTAATAAAACACATTTCTGAATCCAGAAGCCAATATCTAAGGATGAAGTGAAATAATAGGGTTAGAAAAAATAAATGAATAAAGCCTAATCTTACTTTTAAATTTTTGTAGAGAAACTCTCAAATATAAAATAAAGAAACTCACTGATCAGAGATTTTGGAAAGATTTTCATAGTTTTTTAATTCTAATAAATAAATGATCACATTTTCTTGACTTTACAGAAAACAGAACCTTCTACAAAATTGCTTGCAAGAAAAAGTAGGTATTGCAAACTGATAAAGAAATATGCTAATTATTTTCTAATTGTCAAATATGAGAAAAAAATATGAATCAGATGAGTGGGAATTATGTACTGATATTAATCATGCTTTCCTCTTTGCCCTTTTGTCTCCTTTGAAGTTTGCTTTCAGTTAATTCTTAGATTTTATTTTGGTTCAATGATATTATCAAAAATTAGTGTTGTCCCTTCAGGATGAGGTCTCTCTCGTGGGTATAGAATGGAGAAGCATCAAGAGACCTAGACTTCATAGGAGCAGCATCAAATACCATAAGCCCAACTATCATGGGAAGCCATTTATCAACAGACTTTGCAGGTCTGGCTGGTGAACTCAGTAATAAATGAGTCAGAATGTGCAGTTCTATCACTAGCAGTTTTCATGAGAAGGAACTTGGTCACCTAATGTCACATAAAAAGGTACATGGTCACCTATGAGCTGAGATTTGGAAAGGGAAAAGATAAGGTGGTGGTATATTTTTATAAGAACCAAGTTTAGGTTTAGACAGAATGATCAGGAAAAAAAAATGATCAGGAAAGCATTGAAGAACAACACGTACTTTAACACATTATTGGACATCTGCTTAATTCATAAAATATGCAGAAAATGCAAAAGTTCTGATGCAAGGAATATGTTTTAATTTAATATTAAAATGGAAAGTAAATGAAATTTGGATAATATTTACCTCGTTTCACTACATCCAGAACTTTAAGAAGGTCCCTCTTTCCTATATTGAAATTAAAAATGCTTTCTCCCATACCCAACTTAAAGAGTAATAATATTGGCTGTTGTTCATTTTCTCTGACAATAAGAAAAATAACATGTATTGCATACCTTGGTTTATATTGTGTACATGTTGTAGTTCATTTAGAATAATTATCCTCTCTGTTAAAATCTGTTTTATCCTTAGAGATACTGAGAAACAACAATTTAGATTGTATTTATATAAGACAAGTATTTTATAGCATATGCAGTCATTGCAAACTATGTTTATCAAACCACTAGCTTATTATCTATAAAATTAGTGAAAAAATATATTAAGAGTTTTGGGAAGTAGAGCTGAATACAATATCTTTCCTGGGCTTGATCCTAAAAGTTCTAAAATGGATAAGGAGAGAGGGTGCTACATATGTTAACTTTCCTTCACATGTTACAGTGAAACATGAATGATTTCAGTCTAATGTAGGCAATATCTTGGGTGTTAAGAGCCCCATTACATGCATCATTTATGTACATGTCTGCCTTCTAGTTTTGTTGCCGTTCATGTATTTGCAGCCTCTGTGTCTTAAGAGTTGTAACAATTTTAAAACATGCTACTACTTTATTGTAAGCAAGATGACTTTTGTAGGCCCAAAATATACATGCAGTAAGTACCTATAGGTTAATTGAATAGTATCAATGTGTTCTGCTTCTGCCCCTGCCCCTAATACAGTTTAAAAATCATTCAAATCTGGTTTCTGACCTTTTATTTCTGGTTCAAATTGATGAACACTCCAACTTTTCTATCCTCTTTTCAGCTTCCTTGCCTTTTTGAGTCTTAGTTCTAGTTTGTCCCTTATACGTATGTATGTTTTATGCATGTGTATACATACACATACAGACATATGTATGCACACATACAGACTCACTGTTGAAGCAGAGAATGGGAAATGGATGAAAATAGTGTATTTTTGTCCTTATATACTATAGTTAGACAGATAAAAATGTTCTGAAGACACATATTTTGTCTATGTCTATTTGAGAAATAGTTAGAAATAATTTGATGTATCTTTTTAAAAAATTAGCAGGGTTATGTATACCTCTATTGTATTTGACAAAATATTTGCATGATGTGTGCCTACATAGCAACTTGGTGACTTTAGAAGTCATTTATCCTAGCAATGAATGCTGGGAAAATTTAAAAAATAACTTACGTTATGTCAATTAAATCTTATACAAAAATTATTTTGCTGTCCTAAACAATAAATCAACTTAAAATTAACCTGAAATTCTAAATGGATTCTTTACCATGTTTTCTCCATAAACAATTATATAATTCTGGGTTTGCATCTTTTGATGTAAAAAATTATATGTTACCCTCATGTCCCCGAATAATAAATAGTTATATGATTTTCTTTTTATTCTCCTGCTTGCCGCCTATCCAGGTGACCTCTGATGAACTGAACAGTATAATTCAGAATGTAATGACATGGGTTGTGGCTACTGTGACTAGTATATTATATCCAGCCATCACGAAGTATGAAGAAAGGTTGCAAAATAATACATGTCCAGTGCCTGATGACTCTGACCTTTCATCTGATAGTTCAAGTTTCTGTAGCACCTGTAGTGAGGAGTTCACATATGGAAGCTACACATCTGCAACAACTAAAATGTTTCAGGCAGAACCCTGCACATTTACTGGTGACACACCAGTAAAGAGACCGGTCACACCTTCAAAACCTCCTTCTGCCCACGTGGAAAGGAAAGCTGTGGGGAAAACACACCAAAACAAAGGACAGTCTATAACTTCCCACCGCAAATATAACAAAGCCAACTTCATTTATTCATACCCTAAGCTCAGAAGTTGTAAATCTGATAGTCATCTTTTAGCATCACTGGAAACAGGCAGAAGGAAATCTAAGGATGCTACTACAGAAACAGATAGTTTAGAGACTCCATTGATTTGCGATAAAAAAACAAAAGCCATGGATGCGATGAAGAATTTAAAGAATGTTTTTGTTAACTTTAAATGTCACTTGAAAGGGGAAACTGAAATGATTTTAGAAAGCATTTTTCAAGAAATAATGTCTGACTTAACCCAGGCCATTCCTTCGCTTTCTTCTGTTACTGCCGAAGTTTTTGTGGACCATGATGAGACTGAAAAAGAAGACTTGCTCTCCAATGTTGATATCTGTTCAGTAGCATCTGAAATTGTGGAAAATATGCTTGAGAAGCTAGAGTCTGCAGTTGAGAAAAAATGTGTTGAGATGTTTTCACAAGAAGATTTGTCAGTTGACATTAAACCAAGTTTATCAACCAGTGGGGAATATTTCACATCACTAAATGGAAAACCTTCAGAAGATTCACTGTGTCATTCTTTGGAACCAATGTGTGATATTGCAGAGGATATGGTACATGCCATTTTAGAAAAGCTTCTGGCTCTTGCAAGCTATAAGAAAAAGGAGTCTCCTCTTGAAGACGAAACATGTACAGGCTTTCACAGAGCTGGCAAAAAGAAATCTAGTCCTGAAGCTAATGTGACAGCTAACTTAATAGTTAAAGAAAAAATACAAAACTTAATATCAAATATTTTTTCCCAGTCCTCTTTGGTAGGTTATATAGAGGAAGCAATCAGCACTATACTAGGTTATGTACAAACTGAACTTAATAGTGAGAGACTTACTGCATCTGAAGAAACAGTAATACTCCTTCAGTTACTTGATGATATGTTCACTCAGCTCCATTCAGAACCAGTAAAAGCAGTTTCTCAAAAAAGTAGACAGCCTAGACCAAAATATCCTTCTGACACTGAAGAAAAGTATAGACTCACTGGCACTAGAATATCTAGTGGTCCTAGATCTAGAAGACCATTTCCACCTGTTAATGTTCCAGGCATGGTCCTTTATTCTGAAGATGATAATGAAGAAATAGACAACATTGTAAAAAATGTGCTTGATTCATCCTTCAAAGATGAAAAAGCAAAATCACAAGAACAGATTCCTAATCATGGGTTTACAAAGGGAAACATTAATTTTGAATGCAAAAGAAAGAATAAATCACCCACAAAGCCTGCCTCTGGAAGCCAAGGTACATTTCATGAATGGGGATTAAAGGTTGAGTTACCATCTCTTAATAATGAAGACATTTTAAAGGAAAAGGCATTTTTGAATAAAGACATTTCAATTTTCAGCCAAGACCAAAAGCATCAAATAATAAAGGCTTCAGAAAACATGGTGAAATGTATTTTAACAGAAATGCTAAAGGATATATCTTCTGTTTCTCTTGGTCATCTAGGCAGCAAATTTGGTAAAACACTTTCAGTTTTTGTTTCAGAAGAATCTGAAAGACTGTCACATCAGGAATCGATGGACCAGATGTTCTCTGTGTCAGAAATTAGTGCAGTAGCTCTAGAAATAACAGATGCTGTGTTAAATATACTTCATAAGGCATCAATTTACATTCCTAGTACCAGTACAAGTTCCATTTCTTCTGACACTCCCAACATAGTCAAAGAAGCACCAAATAAAAAGCCATTAAATGTGTGGTTTGACAGTGAAAAGAAAATGAAATATTTATCTTCACTTGATGCAGAGCCTGCAAAGCCCTTCTGGTTAAGATCTGAAGAAAATGAGCCTCAGTGTGTAGGTGACATTACTGATAAGATCATTAATACAGTTTTTAAAAGGCTGAAGTTATTTGTTTGTCGAAAATTGCAAATGAACCTCAAACCTGCACTTGCAAAGAAATCTTCATTACAATCTCAACTTAGCACTTACACAACTAAAATAGTAAACATTGTTTTGCAAGCTATCCAGAATGAATTGGAATTCAACAAGAAAAACCTAAGCCTTAGGGAGACAGACCATACCAAACCACTTATGAGTAAAGAAATGTTTGCTGATTCTGATAAGAAATCTCTTGTCACAAATCTCAGTGATGACTTTATGGAAAGTCCATTATTGACCTGTATTTGTGAGATGTTATCAAATGAAAATGAAGATCAAAGAAATATTTCAGTCCCTTCAGATAAACTAAGGTCTGCAACTTTACATGGATCTGACAATGTAAATAAACAGAGCATTTTGCCAAGTAGACAGGATAAAAAATCTTTTTACAAATATTTGGCTACTCCTTGTATGGTTCACAGTATCATTGATGAAAAAGATCTCAAAGAGAATTCCAATTTGCAAGTTTTAGATAGAATTGGGGAAACGCTACATGAAATGTTGAGCAAACTCACAGGTTCCCATTCTGACTCTCAACCATCTTGTACTCAGCAAATCAAAGATAAGACAAACAAGGATCATTCAATGACTGCTACACCACAGTCTAATATTCCACTCATTTCCAAAACAATTTTGGAATACATCCTTGAAAAATTATGTAGTGTTAACATGGATACTAATTTTACAAGTTCTGGATTTAAAGCTGTCTCAGAGTCTCTTGACATTGACAACCTATCATTTGCTTCAATTATTGATGAAATGGCCAAATGCACCAAAATAATTTCCAGCATAATTTCCAATCTGAAACAAGGTAACAAAGAGGTGACTAAAAGCAAGGCAAAAAATTTTGCTCCTGTGTCTTCCAAAACAAAAGCCTCAATAGAAATGCACCCAAATAAACTGAAAGCTGTTGCTTCAGATATTCTTACTATGGTTTTTGATAAACTGGAAGGATTTGCCAATGGAAATTTAGACACTCCAGGTGTTGCTCATGATGAAAATAAAAAAGACAACAGGACAGACTGGGAATGTGAAAGCAGCAGTACTTTCACAGATACACCTGAAGAATCATTGCAGTCTGCTTTATACATGAATGCAAAGAAGGTATCAAGTGCAATTTTGAAAGCCATTCAAACAGAATTAAATGTGAACTCATCAGGTCTTAGGACAAGTGAAAAAAACTCACCACCTGAGACACAGAGGTTTACAAATATAGTGGATTTAATTTTAGATGCAGTATCCTCAGATATGTTTAATGAAACTGAAGACAGAGGCATGGAAGCATATCGATACCGGCCAACCTACGGAAATTTTCTTCCTGGAGGAGCTGAGTCAGATTCATTTCGAGAAGATGATACCCATACAAAAGAAGAATTCATTAGAGAGAGAACATCACCAACAGAGGAAACTAAAACACACCGTCCTAAACAATGGGTTCTAGAAAGAACCTTAAACAAAATTGAAGTGAAGCTCAAAGAACCACATAAATCTCCAATTGTTCCCATTATAAGAAACATTTTGAATGAAATTTTTCGAAGTCCTTTAGTCAACCAATTAAATGTGCTTTCTCTCTCCCACCCTCATTTTAGTGGCATGCCTTACAATGCTCATGAGTCAACTGCTGAACCATCTGCTCAATTTATGGATAAAATGATGGGTCCTTTAGTATCTGAAACAGATGTAAATATAGTGGCAAATGATGTTGTTAGAACTATATTTCATAAACTTCTTTCAGCTGCCATGATAGAAAAAAATGTAAGTGAAAATCGATGTGAAACCATCACTTTTTCAGCAAATGTGTCTGTTCATGAACACAGCTATGGAAGAAACTCCTCTGTCACTCTTTTGAACAGAAATCCATGTACTCTTCAATCTGGATTTCATATTGACAGACAAACCAAAGTAAATGTTGGTGAAGATATTGTACAAGAAATATTAACAAATTTAGAAACTTTTGCTACTTCCAAAGTAAATTCTCTCTTTTGTTCCAAAGTCAACTTCACAGTCCCAGTGACTTTACCTATTCAGCAGGATGAGAGTACATTAAGCAAAACATTATCAGCCAAAGATTCATATTCCGATGAGCAATTTTCCTGTTATTCAGTGGATCATATGAAGTCAGGAAGTACCAACTCATTGTGTCACTTGTCTTTGTCTAGATTAAATATTTATGCAAAAGAAGTGGCTACAAAAGTTTTACAAGGAATCAAGCATGAGTTAGATAAAGAAAGGGATAGTCCTTTTGTAGCTCATAACATTGTGGTTTCTGAAAGTATTGCAAGTCAGGTTGTTAATACAGTGCTAGATATTGTATCATACAAAAGCAACTATGAAAAAAACAATCCTTATAGAGAGAATGATTCAGATCAACAAGACAGTATTATTGAAAAGTTGTTCAATAAAACTGAATATCAAAAAATACTTCAGTTTCAAATTCAAGATACCATTGAAAACATCTTATGTGATATTTATGAAAAAATTCTGTATCAGAATAATCTCTCATTAGCCACACACACTGTGAAATGTAGCACAAGTGGCAAACATTTAGAAACAAAGTCTGAAATATTCACTGAGGGAGCAAATAAGATCATTCCTAAACTTTCAGTTCCTAAATCAGATGTCATATTGCTATCCAGAGATACTGTGGCTATTGTTCTTCATAATCTCAGTTCTGTTGTCATGCTTGTCATAAATTCAAAGTTTCCTGCTTCTACAAGATTGCCGTTTTGTGATACATTTCCAAAAGCAGAATGTCCACAGTCTCTTTTTATGGGGTCAAAAAGTGAAGGAAAAACTGAGAGTTTTCTATATTCAAGAAATAAGAAATCACCTTATGCTGATGATCAGATAGTTATAGAGGAGGAAGAAGAACCCAAGAAATCTGCTCCTGACATAAATGAGGAAAATGCTCAGTTCATTACTGAAGCTGTTTACGATCGGTTACAATCTTTTGCTACAGAAAGAATAGATTCATTAATTACTCTTGCTTCTAAGGAAAAGTCATTTGTTAGTCCAGAATTGGAAAATCATAAACAAGATGACAGCATATTCCATGACTCAAGACAAGGTGGATCTGATGTGAATATCCTGAAAATATCAACAACTAAAACCATTCTCAGCCAAGGGCTTACAGAATCCACTTTTGCCAGTTATAGGGAAAAACTTGGATCCACAATTCATTTATCACAAGCTAGCCTTAAGGACTATGCTGACATCATTGCCAATGCTATTTTAAAGCTTATTAAAAATGACTTAGAGATAGAAATCCAAAAGACACATCCATATCCAAACAACATTTTATTCCAAAAAAATATCATTGTGAATGAAACTGTCAACAGTATCTTAAATATTTTATCTAATAAAAAATCTGTAAAGGAAATTAGTTTTCCCTCAAAAGAGAATCATAATTGTTCACAGTTAACTGTATCAAATGAAATATTCCTAGGACATGAAGAGAAAGAAAAAGAAGAGAAAGAAAAAAATACCACACCATCAGTTACAAACTCTCCATTAGAACAAAAGCAAGTAACATTAGAAAAGGAAAGCCAGAGAATTATTCTGGAAGAAATATTCATGAGAAAAGGAGAATCAAAACAAAAAGAAAAAACTGAATTGCTTATTATGTTGGAAGAACTTTTGAATAAATTGTTTCGACGAATAATGGAAGTCATGGTCCATTTGCCCCCATTAAATGAAATTCCTCTCTTCTCATCTAATTTAACAATCAAAGCATCAGATATAGCACAAAAAAATTCCTTTCAAGCACATATTAACAGTGTAGCAAATGATATAGTTCAAAGTGTTTTAGGGGAAATGTACTCTGTTGTCATAACATCAATTCACAAAAGTAATGAAAGTAGTGAAGAAACTGAAACACCTGACAACAATAGTACCTCACCAATGAAAGCAGTATCTTTTAGAGAAATTAAACAAGCAAGAAAAAGAAGGAATCTCCCTAGATATGAGATACCACAAAAATATCCTTATACAGACATTCAGAATGCTTCTGTATTAGAAAACACTTTTTTGCAATATTCTCCAATGCAAGTAAGAAAAGATTTAGTTCGAATGGTTCTTAATAAGATCACAAATTTTGTTTCATTCCATCTGGAAGAGAGTTTATCCCCTGAGGCTTATACCGATGAGTTGCAACTTCTTAGATCACACAATTCTAAAGTTAGCCCTAAGGACAGCCCTAAGCTAGGTTTTAAGGCAAATTTAAAAGCAAGATCAAAAATTACCTCTTTGTCTAAACTCAAAACAAAACCACACCTGGGACCTAGTGGTGGCAAGACAAAAAGCAAGACCAAGTTAGTTACTGGAGCGAAGAATACAAAAGACAGCCGGTCCAAGACTGCCATTGGGCTGCCGCACATCTTATCAACAGGTGATGCCAAAAGCGTACTAAAAACAAAATTGCCCACTTTGGAACTAAAAGTGTATGCTAAGGATATAATAACTAATATTCTGGAAACAATTATGAATGAACTTGAAAAAGTGACACAAAGGAGAGCCATGGAAAATAGAAAAGATTTACCATCTGATGAAATCATGGAAGCAAGAAAAATAGTTGATACAGTTTTGCAAGAATTATATACTACAAGTAATCACAATTATCTAGGTGAATTATCACATCTGGATGATTATAAACTCTCACAGCAGAATTTAGGTATAGGGTCTTTTGCTAAAGAACAAACATGTTTTTACTTAGATAATGTTCCCTCACAGCTAGAGCAGATTTTCCCTAAAGATGGTATATTTAAAAAAATGTTTGACAAATGGCAAACAGAAACAAATGATATGGAAAATGAAAAAATTAAGCTATTAATATTAGCTGAAAATGTTTTGACTGAAATTTCAATAAAGGCAAAAGATTTAGAATATTCACTTTCACTTTTAAATTTGCCACTTCTTGAGGATTGTGAAAGCGGGTTCTCTAATTACTTTAAAGGTAGTTCTACTAGACCTGAGGATACAAAAGCACAAATTACTATATTTGGAAGAGAAATTGTTGAAATGCTATTTGAAAAATTACAGCTGTGCTTTTTGTCCCAGATACCCACTCCAGACAGTCAAGAAACTCTAACAGAAAAGAAAGATCATGTCACTGCTAAAAGTAAACATGGTTTTCCAACCAAGCACACCCTCAGCACTTTACCAACCTATAATGTGAAGACAAAAGATAAAATTTCTATGGGCTCTAGCAACCAAATTGTTCAAGATATTGTAGAAAGGGTCTTAAATATATTGGAGTCATATGTGGACATACAGTTTAAGCATATCTCTAAATTTGAGTTTTCTGAAATAGTGAAAATGCCCATAGAAAACCTTTCTCAAGTCCAACAGAGACTATTAAGCAAAAAGACATTGCCAAAATTACAACCACTGAAAAAGTTTTCTGATGAAACCAAATCAAATAGTATTATTTCCAAGGAAAATATTCAGAATACTTTCCTGCAGGTTCATTCGTTCCATTCAGAATTATTTACTTATGCTGTTAATATTGTCATTGACATGCTTAGTATAATAAAAAATAAGCTAGACAAAGAAATAAGCCAAATGGAACCATCCTTAATTAGCATATTGGAAGAGAATACTGTAGCAAGTGAGATTATTAGCACACTAATAGACCAATGTAGTCATTTCAGTGAGTCTTTGATCAAAAACCTTCCAATGAAAGATTCCTGTCAAGGGACTGAAAATGTTTACATTGTTAATCAAGTTGAATTAGCATCTAATGTGAAAATGCCCACATCAAAGTTTAAAGAAGCTTGTTTGGGGCACAGTGCTCCACAAAGGAATGTACCCGACATGGTGTGTTATTCAGAAGAAGATGTGCAAAAAAAATACAGAGTTTCATCAAATTCACATTCGTGTGTGAGTTCCTATGTAAAAGACACAATTAAAACCTCAGAGTCAATAGAATGTTCTGATTCAAAAATCATGCCATCATGTTTGAGAAACAAAGTACAAGACCAGAGCCCAAGGAAACCTAATTTTGGACATTGTAATGAAACCATGAACGGAAACAACACTCTCCCTGAAGGCACTGTCTTACAAAAACTGTTTAAGAAAGCAAATGATTCCACAGAAGAAGGTTTAAAACAAGCCATGTCATTCATAGGAATGGGAAAAGGTGAAAATCCAAAAGTATTTCATTATAAGACCCTAAAACCTGTTGTGGAACCAAATGAAATTCAGACAACTGTGTCTCCACTCAAAATATGTTTAGCTGCAGAACATATTGTCAATACTGTGCTATCCAGCTATGGTTTCCCACATCAACCACACACTAATGAAAGTATGGAATCAATGAAGCCATTTTTCATATCACAGCAAAGTCCTTTGTCTGAAATAGCTGAAAGACAAAAAAATACAGACAAGAGTTTGCTTAGAACATGGTGTAAAAAAGTCAGCTATCTACCTGAAGAAGAAAAGAAAAACCCTGAACCCTTCAGAAAAGATTGTTCTTTATTACAGAAATGGCAAAAGAGAAACTCAACAATAAAAATCGAAACTTTGAAGGAACTTGAAGTTATTGCTTTTGCTGATCATGAACTGGGTCCAAATGAAATTCATTTGGTAGCAAGACATGTTACTACATCTGTGGTCACGCATTTGAAGGACTTCAAAAGTAGAGGTAAGAAAGAGGTACTTAATGTTAAAAGTTGGCATAATTTAGGGAAAATAGTAAAAGATGTTCAAAAGATCTAAGAATTTCTGTTTTTCTGAAAATAATCTTGAGGTAGGATGACTATTTAGTTGCTTTTTAATCAAATCATGGTGCTGAAAAATGTTAAAAAGTTAAACATTTGCATGGTCTGAATCTACAGGGTGTCTTATTCAGTTTCCTAGAACTACAGATACAGAGCATGTAGCATGAATCCCAGGGAGTTTTTAAAGTGCCTTACTTTGGCACTGCAATCTATCACAAACTTTCTGGAGTTGCATACTTTTATTTTAGTCAAGATGAAACTGAAGCACAATTCTTCAGCAGCCTAAAAGTAAAGCATAGTATAACATTAAATGTTAATTAAAATTAATTATCCGAGGCCTCTGGAGATACGATAGGATGCTTCACTAAACCTGGAAATCGTTTTTCTGCCCAAAGATTTCTATCTTTGCAGAGTCCATAACCACCCAGCAAGGCAGACATCAACAGAAGACTAAGAGATCTAAATTGGGAGGAGCTGTTTTGTCAACTTACTGACTAAAATTAAGGTTCCCCCAAATGAGAAATAAATATTTGAGGAAAATCCAATTTCTTTCTTCATTAGATTTTGCCTTTTCTTTACTGCCAATATTTTGAACTTCCATATTTCCCTTAATTCATGCTAAAAATGGTAATATTTTCTTTTTAAAGTTTCCACTGTGGAGAAGATATCTCTTGTTTCTACACTGTCGAGGAAAAACTATGAATCAAAACATCTTCTAAGAAGTATATACAATAATTCTTCAATTTATCAGTTTTGTGAACAGCTCACTGAATCAGTCATTTGCCATTTAAACTCAAGCATTTCTGATGGCACCAAAGTATGTAGAGAAAAAGAAAAAGCATGGGAAATCCAAGATGCAGCATTTAATACAATTGTTTCAGTTCATTCTCAAGTATTCGAGGGCAGGTCAATTAGTATTGGAGAACTTGCTTTAAGTATTTCTGAAGTCATCATTTTAATTCTTTCTAGTGGTAACATTATAGAGACTGAAAATGCACAGCAAATTGTTTCCAGAAAAACAAAATACATTTACTGTCCTGGAATAACTTCTTCTGACATTGATGATTTCTTTCAGGATCTCTTATCAGGAGTGATCCATGTAATGTCCAAAGAAATAGGAATCAATCACCACTTTGGAAACAATGGAAGAAACAAATCATTTCCCACACTTAGAAGAAATAGTGTGTACATCTGTAACAAAACAAATACCATGGAAAGCCAGACAGGCCCCCAAGACCAGAATTCATCTATTCATCAAATTGATCACCTTGTTCAAAAAAATAAGTTAAATTATCTAGCATATAGGTTAGATAGCCTGATTGGTAGCCTGAAAACACATGAATCCAAAGAAGTAGTCAATAAAGTCTTTAATATTGTTTTAGATTTGTTTTTGCCAGACGAATTCTCACATAGGGATATGGACTCCAGTAAAATACCAAGGACATTTTTCTCCTCCTCAAATAATCAACAAAGTAATAGGATACTTAGAAATAGCCTAGGGCTCTCCCCTAAATCAGTTTTTCTTCTCAATGTTGTATGTGAGAAACTAACTAGAATACTTCTAGAAAAATGCACAGGCACTCTTTTCCTTGAGGAAGGCCCTTCTAATGAAATACCAGCAGAAGAATATGAACTTTTAAAAATACTTCAACATGTAGAAGATGGAGATTTCAGTTATCACAGCTCAATGGACTGTGAACAACTTCAAGAAGATTACATGTCAGATCTTTTGGAAAATCTGGCAGAAATGGACCAAGATTCATTGTCATCAGACTGTATACTGACTATTATTTCCCACAGCTTGGTTAAATCATTGATGGATAAATTATCTCACAGTTTATCATCAGCTCCTGAAAGTCCACATTTTGAAAATAAATATTTGAAATACAGAACAAGAGAAATAAAGTCTAGTTTCACAAAAGCAAAAAGGCCGGATTTCATAGAACTGGGTCAAGGTAAAGGCTCTTTAGGATCCATGAGTTGTGACAGTAATTCTTTGACCAGATCCCTGAATAATTCTAGTGTGGCTAGCTTCAAAATACAAGTACCACTTGGCAAGCAATGTGCAGTAAAATCCTCTTCTTTGTCACCTCTTGTTAGACAGGAAACAAAGGAAAGGGATACCATTCCTAACAAGCTATTTCAAAGAGGTATGAGCACAAGTGTTTATTCAGCCACATTTTTGGAAGAAATAATTTCAGAATTGTTTTTTAATCTCTCTATATCACTGTGGGGGAAAAATGCAAAAATCACTGAAGTCCAAATCAATGAGATGAATACATTATTTGTCAACGATGTAGTGAATGAGTTTAATAAGGCACAAGTCACTGTTCTGAGGAATGCTGAAGAAAGTCTGTGTTTTCCACCAATCCATAAAGAAACTGTTAGTAAAATTGTTGACTCGGTTTATTATGATGTTTTAGAACAATATGAATTGAAAGTGACCTGTTGTAATAATCTGGCCTATGATAATACTTCAATAGTGAAACAAATATCTAATAGCATATTGGCAGAAATTTTAGACTACCAACTCCCATCTAACATGAGAAAAAAGCTCAGACCTCATTCATATTACCCACTGGAAGCTGAAATTATACTGCAGAAGCTTCAAAATAACCTAAGAAAATTTATTTCCCAACCTAGATCTTCAAAAGGTTATAGCACCATGTTACCACACTCATTTTTAGAAGATGTCATCAGGAGACTTTTGTCTCAGCTCATTCCTCTTTCCATTAAGCCTTCTTCTTTGGAAAACAAATATTTAATGAGTTCAGATTTTAATGAAATGTCCACCTGTATAATAAATAAGGTTATGTCAGCTATTTCAAAGCATAAAATCTGGTTCACCATCTATGATAATTATTACCTATGTACAGGAAAAAACCTCCAAAAGATGGTGGATTCAGTTTATAGTAATATTTTACAAATGTCTGACTCTGTTGTTTCAATACAGAAAAGTATAATCAGCCGAAGTCCCATTATTATTGACCGAATAACCAGTTTCGTTATCCAAGAGATTATTGAAAATCATCTTCAACCTTTTTTGTGTGGAGAGGCTTTACCTCGTCCAAAGACTCCACTGGATGCAGTATCTATTATGGTTAAAGAAGTACTCAGTGAAGTCATAGACACAAACAGACCCCAGAAGCCCATACCTGTAGGTGTTTACCCTGATACATTTGTAGGGGAAATTGTTGCCAGACTTCTATCAAAGATTTTTAGCACAAAACCTCAGTCCGAAGTAGAGCTGGAAAACATGACCCAAAAAATAGTAAACTCAGTGAATAACCATTTCAACAAAGCTAATATTCATATATTTGAGGACAAAGAGCAGTCTTTTTCCTCTATAGATACAGATGTTGTGGATGAACTTGTCACTTCAGTTTATAGGAATGTTTTAGAGCAGCATGGGCTAAACCCTGGCATTGATAATGAGCCAGAAAATAGTGATTTTTTTGTAGAAAATATTACTAAATTAATTGTAGTGGCTATTTCAAACTACCTTCTTCATCCGTTGTTTTCTGGTGATTTGTCACCTTCTTTCTATTCTAATTCAATAGCTGAGAATATTGTTGGTGACCTACTTAGTAACATCAGTACATCTATCAAGTTGAGCCAGAGTTTACCACCATATAATACCTTACTGCCATACACATTTTTAGAAGATATGATTAGAGTACTATTATCTAGATTCTTTCCTTCTGCGTCTAGCATAGTTCCAAACAGAGAAACTCCAAAAGATAAATCAATAGTGAATTTTAATGAAATTGCTTCTAATCTAATCAGTGATATTAGGAAGAAAATTTCCCAACATGAAATTCGAATTTCAAAAGATGAAGAAGAAACAAAATTTGTTTATTCAGAAGATGATGTTCAGCATCTTGTAGACTCAGTATTTAAAAATATTTTACAACACTCTGCCTCTCAGCAATCAGTGGAGCAAAATATTACAAGCAGTGATGAAGCTTTTATTGACAGAATAGCAGGTTTTATCATTAAACATATCTGTGAACAGCATCTTCAGCCATTTTTGGATAGAAAGTCATTATCTTCTTCCTCATACACATGTGTTGATGACGAGAGACAGCAGTTTTCTTATGCCAGTGTTTATTCCTCAACTTTTTTGGAAGATGTGGTCTCTGGGGTTTTAAGCAGAATATTCCACAGGGTGGTAGGCATTGTACAGATGAAATCAGTGAGGAATTCAGAAGATGAACTGTTTGATAAAGCTGAAAACCTCATACATTTGATCACAGAAGAATTCTCAAGAGCCCAAGTTACCGTTATAGATAATGCTGAGGAACGATTGCACTTGCCTTTAGTGGAGAGAGATGTAGTCAAAAACATTATTGACACAGTGTACAGCAAAGTTTTAGAAGAATATGAAATGGAAATTATGCCTGATAAAGATTTTCTAAATGATTCAAAGACATTGGCCATGAGGGTAACTAAAATCATCTTGGCTGAAATTTTTGATTTCCAAATTCATCCAGATCTTCTAGCAAATCTGCCTCCTAAGTCATATTCTAAGCTTAGTGAAATTGTTTTGACAAACAGAGCCCAATATGATATTAGTAAGTCAAGATTCAGAAGGCAGGCTTCAACAACATATACTACTTTGTTATCACATTTTCATTTGGAAAAAATAGTCACTCAGCTTATTTCTCAAATTAGTCCATTGTCCTCCAGTGCAGAACATCCAGATACTCCCCAATCAGACTTAAACAATACAGTCATAAAACTGATCAATGAAATCATGTCAATAATTTCTAAACATGCAATATGTATTACTAAACATGGGAATGGAAAACAAAGTATGATTTCAGAAAAAGATATTCAATCCATGGTTGATTCCATTTATGCTGATCTTTCTCACTCAGATCTATATCAGTCTCTCACAAAGGATAAAACAGGTATAAAGAGCATACCTGTTTCAAAAATGGCAAGTTTCATAATAAAAGAAATCTTTAACCATCATTTACAGTCATTTTTATATGGTGATAAAACTCTCCTTTCAGCTTCAGTTGTTCAAACAAACAAACAGAAAGCAACAGATACTAAAAAGAGAGAATTGTCATTCATTGTAAATTCGGCTGTCTTTTTGGAGGAAGTAATTTCTGAGCTGTTATGCAAAATTCTTCATGCATTCACAGACTCACATGTCTTATCTGATGAAAATCCAGATACACCAAAAGCTGAAATTACTGATATTGTCACAACATTAGTGAAATCAATCATTCTGGAGTTCACCACATCAGAGATTTTAGTTGCAGATAACTTGGATGAAGATTTGTGTTTGTCAGAAGAATATAAAGAAGTGGTTCAAAAAACAGTCAATTCAGTTTACGAAAAAATATTAGATGAATATAAGTCACTGGTTAACATTTATAGGGCTTTACAAAGTGATACCACTTGTTTTGGGGGGAAAATGTATCATTTTCTGTTGGAAGAAATTTATGATTATCAGGTACAGTCATTAATTTCAGGAGAATTAATGCCTTCTTCCTATTCTTCACCTCGAGCTGATAACATCATCAGAAATGTGCTCAACTTCATCTTGAAGGATAGTAATGCCTTGCCATCATGTATCACTGTGTTCCCTCATTCTCTTTTGGAAGATATGATTTACAAACTTCTAGTGCACATCTTCCCTTCAAATGGCATTGCAAATGAAGTAAATGAGGAAACAGTTACACCAGATGATGAGTTTATGGATGCAGCTTCAAAACTGACTGATGAAATTATAAAAGAAATTTTTGAACATGAGATCCGACTTGCCACAGCAGAGGAGAATGCAGAAAGTATGCAATTAGAAGCTATTGAGAATTTCATTGACTCCGTATGTAATAATATTATGAAAAAATCTGAATTCCAAGCTGCAGTAAAGAAAGATGCAAACAAAAAAAGAAGCTCATTTCTCAGTAAAATAGCTGGCTTCATTATGAAAGAAATCATGGATCATCACTTAAGACCATTTTTGTTTGGTGAAGAATCATCTTCCGTTAACTTACCTGACTATGGCCATGCCTCTGTAGTTGCTAAATCTGGAAAAGAAAAGATACAGCCTTCCCTGTTTTCAGCTACATTTTTGGAAGATGTAATTGTTGACCTTGTTTACAAATTTTGTTCTTTCCCAACTGTTACTGAAGATTCTAAGAAAAAAGAAATGCCAGAGACAGATATTGTAGGCTTAGCAATCAAATTTGCAAATTCTCTTATAGGGGAATTTAGGAAAAGTGATATTAAAGTTTTACCACATGCTGAAGAAATATTTTCTTTTCCACCAATTGATAAAGAGACAGTTGAAAAAATATCCAATTTTGTGTATGATCAGTTCATAGGGAAAGTCAATCTAATGATATTCAGAAAGATGATAAAAGTAATATTGTTATAGAAATGATTTCTGCTTTAGCCCAAAAGGCAATTTCTGCTTTTAGGATTCAACCACTATTCTCAGGAGACTGGTTTTCAACCTTCTTTTCATTTCTTAAACCTGATAACATCACCCAAAGGGTTCAGCGCTTACCACAAAAACCTTCTATGCAGATAACTAGATCCTTGAAAGGGAAGCAACTTATTTTACCAGAACAATCATATAAACATACTTCTTTAAGCTGGGATCAAAAAAATACCATGGGTAGTTTAGAAACAGATAAACAGTCAATGGGTAAGAAGAGAAGTTTCAACACTAAAGACACATCAATGAAGAAAAGTGATATCCAAGATCCAATATTTACCTCTATAAACACCATTATGAAAACCAACATGATTAACCTGATATCCGGGTCAGCTGCAGGAGTGGCAAATAAAAAGAAGGAGGGTGAAAATAAACCAGAAACTTCTACTAAAAAATATGAGAATGTATCAAATGTTTCTTATACAACTACCAGTGTGAAAAGTATGGAGACTCAAGAGCAAGATTTGAGTGAAACACTTAAAAGTAATGAAATTGAGAAGGAAAAATCAGCTCCAAGTGAGCAGGGACAGGTTGATGATGAGATATACAAACATTTTTCAGTTGCTACTATTGATACAGAGTATGAGAAGGAAATGTTTGAATCGGATTCTGAAATAGACAATGAAGAGAATATTGACAATAGCAGTACAAGTTTAATAAAAAGAAATGACAAGATCATCCAGTTGTCTTCTTTGAAGCCCAACACAAGAAATATGGGGACTACAACAGAGAAAACTTTAAAAATAATTGAAAAGCCAAGCAATAAAAAGAGGAAGACCGTCAAACTCAAGTAGATATGGCTGAGGAGCAATACTCCGATTATGAATGTGTTCAAAATGTCATTGAAAATATTTATGACAATGTTTTAATAATATCCTCTTCTCAATCAGAAGTTTCAAAACGCAGATACAGCAAAAGCTCCCTAGGTGATAAATCACTAAACACAATTCATGAGCTTAGCAAAGATTCTACACAGTCTGTTACTACAAGTGACTTATCCTCAATTAATGAAGTACCTGCCAAAAAGAAAGAAAAGGAAGAGAAAGAGAGAGAAAGAGAGAAAATGAATGAAAAGGAGAGAAAAGGGGAGAAAGAGCATGAGAAAAAAAAAGGAAAAGAGAAAGTAAGAAACAAAGAGATTAAAAGTAAACCTAGTAAAGTAGATCATCCAGAGAAACCATCAGAAAGTAAACCTAGAATTTTTCCTGCTAAATTTCTAGAAGATGTTATCATTGAAATGGTGAACAAATTAATTTTTTCTTCCTCACCTAAAACAGATATATGTGATAAATGCTCAGATGTACACAATGTTCAAAATCAAGGTGAACTCTACGACACAGCTATGAAACTTATTGATTCACTGTTGAAGGAGTTTTCAGATGCTCAAATTAGGGTATTTAGACCAGATAAGGAAACTGAGTATTTGTCACATTCAAGCAAAGAGTCTGAAGTTCATGAAATACTTCCAAGGTATAAGGAACCAACTACAAATGAAGCATCATCCAGCATTAAAATGAAAATTATGGATAAAATGCCACATACGCATAAAGCAACCAAAAAAGCCTCTGCTGATAAGATACTTTCAATAGATAAGGTACCAGAAATTGATAAAACATTGGTTAATAAAATTGTTCACTCTTCTATTTGCAATATTTTGAAGGAATGTAGTTCTCAAGAATCTATTTGTGAGAATGTCAACAGTAATGGGGAAAATTTAGCAAGAAGTCTAACTACTTCAGTGATAAATGAAATTTTTCAACATCAGCTTAACTTGATGTTTTGTGATGAGGTTCCAGCGTCAGCCTGTTTGCCTCTGGAATCTAAAGATGTTGTTAAACAGGTCCAAAAGGTGGCCCAAACAGCCAGCAAGGAATGTCAGACATCATCACCCTATACCATTATGTTGCCATACAAATTTTTAGAGGATGCAGTTTCTGCTCTTTTGTCAAAAATTTTCCCAACAATACCTAACACCAACACCACATCAAAAACATCTGAGGACAATTTGTACACAGAACTTGAATTTCTTCAAATGAAGTTAGTAAGTACAGTTGCAGCTGAGATTTCCAAAGATGAAGATATGATTATACAGTATGTAGAATCCTTACATCCCAATGATGATGAAATTATTCAATTAGTGGTTCAGTCTATTTATAATAATCTGTTGCCACAATTTGGATCACAGGAGATCATACAAAATTGTGTGATTAGTGGATGCAGACTCCTTTCAGAAACCATCATTGACTTAGTTCTACGAGAAGTAGCTGGCAATCAGTTGCAGAACTATTTTTGTGGAGAGCTAACTCCACACCAGTGTGCAGAAGTTGACACTATTGTTGAAAATATCCTTAGAGATGTCATCCTAACTACCCCACCTCCACCAGCACATGCTCATAAGCTGTCTTGTAACATAATAGAAGAAGTTGCTGTAAAATTTTTATCGAAGCTTTTATCTACGTTTCCAAGGGTGCGTAAGGGAAGAACCAAATCTCTAGAACCTGAAATGAAAACAATAACTTCAAAAATATTAAATTCATTCCAAGAATTTATCTCCAAAAGTAAGATTAAACTTGTACAGCCAGCCAAGGAATCATCTACTGTACCTTTAGCTGACAATGAAACTATTGAAAAAGTAGTGAATTCTGTTTATACCAGTGTTTTAAAACACTCTGGCTCCCATACATCTATTTTTAAAGACTTACTGGGTAATAGCAATGCACTCTCTGATATAATAGGTTTTCTAATGGTGAAGGAAATTTCTAACTCTGAATTTCAGCCTCAAGTAGAGGAAGAAGTATCAAATTCAGAATTAGTTCTGGAAGCTGTCAAAATACTGGAAAAGGTGGTCAAAATTATTGATGAACTCAAGTCCCAGGAAAAGTCTTCACCCAGAAAATGTTCTGCGTCCGATGCCCAGGTTGTAGAGGAAGCATCGGCCTTGTTCTTGGCTAAACTGCCAAAGTTGCCAAGTGCTGCAAGTAAAGATGCAAAAATCTTATCAAAGCCTGAGTTAGGTAAAATTGCATCTCAACTGACAAAATCTGTATCAGCTGAAATTTCCAGAAGTAACATTAGTCTTGTAGCTTCTGATCCTGAGGAACATCCTTTAAATACAGAAAATATAGAATTGGTTTCTCAACCTGGAGCCCTTAAAGATCTTTATGACACAAGAGGTTCACATATAGCGTTCCCTAAAAAGGTGGCAAGCTTAATTGTTGATGGGATCTCAAGTGTTCCGTTATATCAAGCTAACTCAGATAATGCATATGGTGATCTCTTTGGAGATTTGGACATCAATAGAATCGTTGAAAAGGCACAAAACCATGTTGAGAAAATCACCTCTGACACTGACAAAGAACAGTCAGATGAAGATGTATATGAAGAAATTCCAGTTAAAATAGTTCCGCACGTTGGGAGCAAACCAATCAAAATAGATCCAAATATTATTGCAGAACACTTAGCGGTCATTTCTGTAAAAACTCAACCTCTTGAGAAACTTAAGATGGAATGTTTAAAAAGAACTGGACATAGCATAGCAGAACTAAGAAGAGCATCAATAAGTGGGAGAAGTTACTCCTCAGTCTCATCTGATTTACAAGGGAGAATGAAAGAAAGACGTACCTCATTGGACAGGACAGGACGACTGGATTTAAAACCCTGTGAGGTAAGTACAAAGTAGGCAGTGAGACATGGCTGTTCTGATTTCCTTCCTCAAATTGGTATATGGTAATGCATGTTTGTTGTTTTTGCCCAAGCCAACAGAGACCAGTTGTATGAGTTCATCTGTACAACTGTATGATTTACTATAACTTCCCACATCAGTTCAGTAACTCACTCTAAAGGCCTCAGACTATTTTTTCCTAAAATAATACACTTAAACTCACTTTCTTTTGAAAAATTGCAACATAAGGATATATTTTTTAACAATAATACCAGACTGATTAAAGAAAGCTCTGACTGTCATATGAAGATGAAGAAGAAGCATACTTTTGTATAATTCCTTTAAATATCTTTATCCTTAGCATTTTTGGAACATATAATGATTCCTTCTGGAAGTTTGAAAATTGCCTCTTCCATCTGAGCTCCCATCATTATGTTAGTATATATTTAGTGGTAATCATTTATATATAAGTAATCCATGAGGCACAAAATTTGTTTGAACAGACTATAAATAACACTACTCAAAATTAGGTTTTAGTCATCTATAGAATTGTCTCTAACAAATGCTACTGTTAGTTGCCATCTCCCTTTACTTACCACAAAAAAAATAGTAGGTGAATATTTAAATCAAAAGACTTACCTCTGCCATTTTAAGGAAAGGAAAGCAATTCAATCCATCCTTTTGGAGCTACAGCTATAGGGAATTCAGTTAATAGGTAGAAACTTAATGCTCCTATCTGAGTGTGAGTTATGTCTACCCTCAACAAAGGGAGAAAAAGTCAAAAGAATAGTAGATTGGGTCAAATAACTACACTTGGCTGCAAGTGTAGTCTACAAGTATCTATACTTGGCTCTGCCTTAGGGCTTAATTTCCTATATTAGGTTAACATAAAATTTCAACTCAGCAGATATATGCAGGTTAAAACACATGCAATAGCCAATCCAGAAACTACATAGCATGGTTTTGAATACTCTAATCCACTCTTTCCACAACTGGTCATTTTGATTTTTTGGAAAGTTGCCTCTAATAGTTTGTCCATAGAAGATACCTCTTTAGGGCATATCATTATTTGTAAAACTAACTTGCAAAGTTACAAAAGAAGCTTGAGTCTAAAATGATTCAATATTTAGAAGTTCTGTGGCATAGTCAAAGGCTACAGAAATGGGGTATTTTGTTGTTATAATTGTCTTTTAAAAGTCTATCTTTAACATTGAAGATAGAAACTGAGATTTGACTAGAAAGGTTAGGGAAAAAAATGAAGATTTATATATTTTCTCCAAAGGATCAAGAATGGAGTGGTGTGGAGTAAAAATTCAAAGACCGCAATTTTGATTATTCATTATTTCTGTTGTGAACATGCGATGATATTTTGCCCTTTTCCCTAAAAATAATTTAGATTTCTTTATGATTTCCTACATAAAGTTAAAAAAAAGTTATTTACTTCTGGTGCAAAACTTTAAAGAGAAATAACAAAAATACAAAATTATAAAATGATTTTGCAACAAAATGTTAAGTTTAATTAAAAAAAAATCCATATAGACCTGCTTTTTGAAATAAGTAATGGTAGATTAATATGAAATTAATGTAAAGTAATGACAGACACCAGCAAACATTTCTTATGATTTTTCTTTCTGCCTTTGAAAATATTGCCAATATAACAGCAAGCAGCACTTGAGATATTACATTGAAATGAGAAATCATAAGAAAATAACAATGTCACAAAATACTATAAGAAAAGTGATGGAGACATTTGTTATTTAATATTTATTTTCTTTGAATTTCAGGCTGTTTGCAGAAATTCATTTCCTAATATAAGAAAGCCTGATATCACCAAGATAGAGCTTTTAAAAGATGTTCAAAATAAGAAAGATCTGATTATTCGGTTAGTAGCTCATGATATCCATCAAGTCTCAGTAACTAACTCAGGAGAGGAACTCGTTTCTGATGAAGAAGAAATCATTTTAGGAGAGGTTGTGGCACAAGACGGCTTACGAAAACCAACTGAAGCTGAACTGGAAGAAGTCATGAAGCCTCCAGAAAGCAAAATTGTTTCTCCCAAGCCAACAATCAGCACAAAGAGCTTGAGAAAAATTTTATCACTAAGCAATTGTTGTCAGTCCGGTTCAAATATTGAAAATACTGAAGCAGCCACAAACAAGACAGTAGAATCTAAAGCGACACTTGTTAAAAGAGCTATTGCTGAGCTTGACATGGCCTCTTCAAAAAGCTTGGCTGAAGCAAGTGCTTCTTGTCAGGAGAAAAAGTCAAAAAGTAAGGTAAGTGACTAGAAAGGCTAGAGAACTTAAAAATTTGGTCCAAGAATTGTTTTGATTGGGCAGAAAAGAATTCTAAAATGGATTCAACATCCTACTAAGTAGATCGATATTTACAATGTAGAGCAAATAATTAACAGATACAGCTATGAAACTCAGTTGGGGGAAAGCTGATAAGAGAAATAATCTAAGTTACTTAGAAGCTCAAGGAACAGAAGATAAGAATCAGTTAAAAAAATGAAAGCTAATTATGTAAAACAATAGATTTCAGTCTTTTTGTGTTTGTGCTGCTAAATACTCATTTGGCATTAATAGTGGAGAGCCTCATGCAATAGGATAGTACCAGAAATTGGCTGAGAAGGGAGGAAGTTAGAAAAAAATCTATAGAAAAGTAGATGGCTGCCCAGTATGGTGTGATGCCTTTGGTTTGATCCACAGCACTGCAAAAAAATAAATTTTGTGGGTAAGTTAAGTTTTACATCAAAATTTCTCATAAGAATATAGTTAAGACTGTGAAAATTACCATTAGTATGAGAAAGCACTGATCAAACTATGCTTTGTGTAATACTGACTTTGCAATTTTATAGAAAGAAGAAAGGAGTCTCATTTCTGAACCAACACATTACTTCATACACAGAATTATGAGTTCGTCTTCTTATAATCAAGAAGATCTTATTTCATCTGCCAGGTACATGAAATTAATACAATACAAATATAGAAATCTGAGATGAATGTAGTACTTAAGAATGGTGCCCTGGTAAAGCTATCATTGACCAAGTATTTTGCTTTAGACCTTCCCTCTTTTTATTCTTCCTTCTCTTGAACTCCCCACTGTAGATAAGTCCAAAGTATCCTTTTACTACCTATTTCTCCATTTTTTAGTGACCTTGCCATTAGACCCTTGTTTTGAGACCCGATTTATTTTATTCTATAATGTCTCGGGTAAAATATTTGCTAATGTTTTAGGGTATGTTTTAACCTTAGACTTAGCCACTGGCTCAGCAGTAGAATATGAACTATCAGCACAGAAGGATTCCTGCTCAGCTCCTTGAAGTAAGCTAACTATTGTAATGTGTAGTACTACCTATGAGAAGAATCCAAAGAACAGGAGAAATGTAAGATTGAGCATATAAAGATAAATTCTAGAATGCAATAAACTTTAATAATGGAGAGCATTTACAAGAGAGAAACACACTCCAAGTTTGGATAGCTATGGAGCAAAATATGTACTGTGTGGCAGTTATAGACTACATAGAATAAAGTGTACTGTAGACTTAAATCAATAGCTCTATCAAAAATTATTAAAATATCTAGAATTGTTGTTGTTAAAAATATTTATAACCTGGAAGAATTTTCTATATGGGAGGAAGAATTGAGTATACTGAGAAAAATCTGGCAAAATTTTTTCCCACTCAGCATGGTGCAATTGTTTCCTTTTGTTGTGACACTACTTTGGAACATCTATGCCTAACATACCATTGCATATTTTAACCTGCAAATTTACTACTTCCACATATATACATACACATACATATATATATGTATATATATGTAATACATTCATCTCTCTCTTTTGTTTGTATAAGTGAAGGACAGGGATAGAAGGAGTACAGGTAATCCTAAAAATAATAAATTTAGTGTAAAATGATACAAGGAAGCTCCAAGCTTTTCTTTTCCCATAAGCTCATATTCACTAAAACAACATTCTAAGAACTTTGGAAAACTATCAAATATTTGCAGCAAACAATCAAGAAGAAACCACACTGAAAATGGTAAAGAAAAAACTTGTGGATTTTACTTACTCTTACCCAAGGTCCTCCCAGCAAGGCACAATATAGTTAGGAAGAAGGAGCAAACTTCCCCATTTCCTCCCTCTGGGTAGAACTTGTCTACAATGTTTTGGTTTATCTATGGGCATCCTGAGAAAATTAATCTGGTCTTACTTGAGGAGAATATAGAAAGAAAATAGTGAATATTTGAAATCTAAGTCTAGAAACCTTAGAATGTATATACAAAGGTTCTGTGTCTATAAATACTTTAGAAAGGGATTATGGAAAGTGGAATACAATAGAATTTCTAAGTCTCTAATATGAACTAGAGTGAGACTCTTTGGATAATTAAATCACTTAACAGGGGACAAGAAAATTAGGGGAAAAAAGTAGAGAAATGGGCCTGCAAAAATATGCCCAGAAAAGACATGCATGAGATCTTAATGCTACACTTCAGACCATTTTCAAGTTCAGTATCCCACACTTAGTAAAGGTCCTCCACATCTGGTTTCAAAGTCTAAAAGACGTAGCTGTTGTTTTTCATTTTTCAAATGCCCAAATTTCCACCAGTGACAACTAGGTAATCAAAGAACTAGGGACATATGGCCTATTCATAGAATAAAATAAACATCCACAAAATGCCTCTGAAGGTGCCAATGAATTGGGTATGATCAAAACTTCAAAAATATTGCCTTAAATGTGCTCAAGAACTAGGAAAACACATAAAAGACAAAGTAAATTGAGAAAAATATTTATGGAACAATGAGAATGTAACAAAACAGAAAATGCTTTAAATAGAAATAAACAAACCACTCAGAACATGAAAACAGTAACTGAATTGACAATTACAGTAAAGATTCAGCAGCAAACTTGGACAGGTGGAAGAAAGAACCAGTGAACATGAACACAAACCATTTAAAATTATCCAATCTGAGGACCATTTAAAAAAGACTTATAAAAAATGAACAGAGCCTACTGACTTTGGTGGTTATTATTGGGCAAACTAATACTACTTATAGAAACTTCCACAATTTGAAGAAAGACATAGATATACAAATGCAGGAAGCACAAAAAAACTCCAAGTAGGGAAAAAACCCCATCAAGACACATTTTAATCAAGTTAGTTGTATGCCTCTTTGGCATTATCACAATGAATGCCCCCCCTAACTACTGGTGTATGCTAATAAAAAATAGTAAAAAGAAAGAGAAATGTTGATTCATTATGTGCATTATGTGCAAGGAATCTCAATATGATTTCCCAGCATGCTAAAAGAAGTAAGATGACATATCCACAGTGCTAAAAGCAAAAAAAAAGAAATAATTATCCAACACAAATTGTACACATGACAAAAATTTCCCTCAAGAAAGAGAGGGAAATTAAGTATCTGAAGACACAAAAAACCAGAAAACTCAAGATAGTTCAAGAAATGCTAAAGAAACTCTTGAAGTTGTGATGAAAGATGATAAATAGTAACATAGAACCATATGAAAACACAAAATTCTAGGCTGGGGATATAGCTCTGTGGTAGAGCACCTGTCTCACCTGCACAAGAACCTAGAGGTGATCTCAAGGACCACACACACACATGCACACACAATTTGCAGGAATATAAAATCCTCTAGTAAAGATAAGCACATGGAAAAGTAGAAAAACAATATTATAATTTTGATTCATAAATCCACTCTTCCTATAAGGTTAAAAATACATGCAGAAAACAGATTATAAATCTATGTTGATAGGTACAGCATGTATAAAAATGCTATTGGAAGTATTGATAACATAACTGGGGTGGGGGCAGATATGTAACCTGGCAGAATTTCTGTTTATACTTAAAGTTAGTATGGTATCAACTTAAGTACTTTAGAATGTTATATGTATTCCCTGTGGTAACTACACACAAAAATCTGTAGCATATACATAAAAGGCAATGAGAAGGTACTAAAAAGTATCAATTAAGTACAAAGGATAATATTATTGGAGGAAAGAAGGTTTAAAAAAAGGTATGACACAGAATACAACAAAATTGCTATAATAAGTTGTCCACTATCAGTATTTACTTGAAGTGTAAATGAATTAAACCCTGAAATAGCATAGAATGACAAAATGGATTTAAATAAGATCCAGCTGTATGTTGTTTGTTCATAAGAAACTCATTTTAGATCTAAGTACACATGTAGATTAGAAGTTGAAGAATGGAAAAAGATACCTCATGCAAATAAAAACCAAAAGAGAACTAGAGTAGTAACCCTAACATGAGGGGAAGAAAATGATTGCAAGAGAAAAAGGACACAGAGTCATGATAAAAGAGTCAATCACCAAGACATATAATGATTGTAAACATATATGCACCAAAAGTCAGAACTCGCAAAAATACATAAAATAAATATAGACAGAATTGAAGGAGAAAAGTGGCAGCTCCACAATAATAGTAGGGCACTTTAATAGACCACTTAAATAATAAAGAAACCAACCAGACAGAATGTCAGTAAGTCAAGGATGTGAACAATAATATAGGTCAATTGAACCTCACAGACATTCAGAACACTCCATTGAGCAACAGTAGAATAAACAGTTACGTGGTACATTCACCATGGTGGACCATATCATAGACAACAGAGTAAATTTTAGTGTGTTCATTTTAGAAGTTTGAAGTCATTCAAGATGACTTTTCCAATCACAATGGCCTGGAACTAGAACTTGAGAGCAGAAGGAAAACCAAACAAACAAAAGTAGCTATAAATTAAACTATATACCCTTAACTAATGGTTTAAAAAAGAAGTCTTAATGGAAATAAGAAAATATTTGAGATAAATAAAAATGCAACAAACTAAAACTTAAGAAATATAGCAAAACATGTTAAAAGGGAAATTTATAGTTGTAAATTCATTAAAAAATGAAAGATGAGTTAATATCAAAAGCTTACTTCACCACTGAAGAAAAATTAAAAAAAAAACAAATGAAAGTTAAAGGTAGCAGAAGAAAGGAAAGAATAAAAATTGGAGCACAAATATATAGAAAAACAACAGAGAAAAATCACAAAATCAAGAGTTGGAATCTTCAAAAAGATCAACAAATTAACAAATGTTTAGCTAGATATTGTAATGAAAAGTGAGAGTAAAGAAGAGGACATTGTAATGATTTTACGAATGAAAGAATTATAGAGCATACTTGAAGTTGTATGAGGAGAAATGAATAACCTAAAAAAAAGTAAATTCTGAGAAAAAAGAAACTGAATCATGATGAATTAGAAATTTCAGAATAAATCAATTATTAAAGAGAGTGAACAGGAACCAGAAAAACTTGTTAACAAAGAGACGGTAGAACCAGATTAATTATCAATCAACATCGCCAAAACATTGCCAAAAAAGGAAGAGGAGAGAATACTTCCAAACTCATGGGTAGCATTGTCTTGATAATAAAGCCAGAAAAAGAGCCTGTTAAAGATCAATATCTCTGCACTGTGTATTGTTGTAAACCAAACAAACAAAAAACTTCAGAAAATACTAGCAAACTAAATTTCAGCAGCATGTCAGAGGTTTTATACACTGTGACCAGTGGATTTCTCCCAGAAACCAAGAGTTTCAACACACAAAAACTAAATCACATTAATGCCACCACTTTTACAGAATAAAGGGAGGAACAACACACACACACACACACATCTCAATTGATTCAGAAAAACTTGACAAATGCAACATCTTTCATAACAGCAATCAACAAATTTGGAATAGAGGAAACCAGCACTAATATGGCCCTCCATGGTGAAATAATGAAACTTCTCCTGAAAGATTATTAAATAAGAAAAAAGATACCCCTTTACTACTTCTATTCAACAAAGTATGGAAGTCTTTCTAGAGAAACTTTAAGCAGAAAAGAAAATTACATTTCAAATAGGAAGGTAGGTTGAAATGATCTCTG